TCGGCTATTCTATTGCTGAAAAAGTTCTTCCTCATGTTTAGTTGACACCTCTGCTTCATGAGCTTGAGCTTATGACCCCTAGTGCCGTGTTGGGAAGCTAATGTGAAGAGACTGTCCGCTGCTATCCCCGATATTTCCTTCATGATTTTGAAGGTTTCTATCAGGTCACCTCGCAGTCTTCTTCTTTCTAATGAGAAAAGTCCCAGTGCCTTAAGTCTTTCCTCATATGTTTTTCCCCTCTGGCCTTCAATCATTCTTGTGGCCAATCTCTGCACTTTCTCTAAACAGGCAGCATCCTTCTTGAATAAGGGTGCCCAAGCCTGTACACAATACTCTAGATGTGGCTCAACTATGGCTTTGTAAACGGGAATGAAGACTTCCGGTCTTCTGCATGCTAAAACTGACCGTAGTCTAAATAATTCCCTCCTAGCCCTGCGCGCCGCTACTTGACATTGGTAAGACCACCTAAAGTTGTTCGATATTATGACCCCCAAGTCCTTAACCCCAGTATCGGGTTCGACGGCGAATTCATGTTTTTCCGAGTTAACCACCATTCTGTCAAGTGCCCCTGTGAGCACATGATTCATGGTAGCGTTAGGACGTAGGTCCCATTCCTTGGAATACGAAGGACATTTTAGTCCAAGTAGCACCGACACCATTTGAGCGGAAATGCTCAAATGGGGTTCCTAAACCTTAACTGAAATATAAATAGTGATTCTGATTTGGCTCTGAAGCGTCAAAACAGATTCGTCGAGGACAAGATGTGTAGCAAGCGAGAGTGAAAACACAAGTCCTACAGAGAACCTGGCTGAAGTTTAGAGACATTCAGAAGGCAAGATACCAGACAGAGGAGGATCAGGTGGGAGGAGCAGGATAGTTCATGTGAGGAAACCAAGGTATACGAAGGACATTTTAGTCCAAGTAGCACCGACACCATTTTAGCGGAAATGCTCAAACGCAAATGGAGAGCTGTTTTTCGATTGTCTGGCAGTCGGTTTGCTCCCGTTCACCAGGGTAACGGCACTTCGAATTGGATTCCGTTGTGTTTTGACGTTTCATTGACGACAGTCATGGCTGCTCGGTCTTCCCTCGACATAGATACCCGGTCATCTGCTATGTAGCCGAACTCGTGATTGTGAAGCCGCTCTGGATCGTCTCCTATGGGATTACATGGACGTGAGATGACGGTGAACGAGGCTGAATAATTACCAGCATTACTGAGCGGCCCACAGACTATCCAGCCAAACATAGTGCGCACAGCATATGGATCTCTACGGCCTCCTATCCTTTGATCCCGAACCCAATGCACCTCTGGTACATCACAGTCGATCAATATGTCCACTCGGGTGTACGGAACATCCTTGAACGGCAGATCGTGGAGATGAGGCCAGCGCCGCGCAAGCGACCGGATACTTTCGGAAGCTCTCATTGGTAGTTCGGCGATAGTAAATACCTGGTGCACTTCTGTCGTAACTTCCCCCATGTGGGAGTTTGCTTCAAACTCAGTTGAGAAGCTGAAACTGCTCGTGCAGGATCCTGTCCTTTTAGCTAATGTCCAGCGGTCGACCATCTTCATTGACAAAAACTCTGGGAAGTCAACAAGCTTCTGGACACCTATGCACACTTTGCACTTAATCGGTCTCTGTGTGTCATATGAGACTAAGTTGGCGCTCGCCCAATTGCGTGGGGCAGGGGAACCTCGAGATTCATGACGGTGTAAAGTTGGTTGAAAGCATAGCGGTCCTGATGCTTTCCCTCGCCAGTTGACCGAATCGACCATTTGCTATGCGCGATTGGCAGCCAATGAATTGGGCGAGTTCGTCAAATGTCGCCTCTCCGTTCCTTTTCTCGATTCGATCGGCCTCGGTCGCCCAGGCGTCTGCATGTTCGTCAAAGGTTGCCTCTCTGTTCCTTTTCTCGATTCGATCGGCCTCGGTCGCCCAGGCTGTCTGCATTTCGGATTCCAGCGTGTGAAGTGCATCCAGGTCCGACCGATATTTCAGGTGGTTGGGGACGATGCTGCAGTTCTGCATTTTGATGACCAGGTTTGCTAGAGAACTGGTA